ACATTTTCAGCATTATCTATATGCTTTTTTATTTCTGTGTTACTGTAGGTAATAATCAAAACAGTTACATACTTGCTTTCTATCGCAACCAAATTGTTTTACAATAAAACATAGRTATATATATATAAAAATATCTATATTGGAACTACCAAAAATTCAGTGTTTTTTTCACTCTAATCTGCTCCAAGGGGGATATATTGACAGGAACCTGAATTGCCTTTGCCTTAAGGGGCAGATCATAACATGTTCCATCTCCTGTTTCAGTGATTTTTCATATTGTGCTCTGCATTAATGGCCTTTTTACAGTTGTCTTTTATCCTGCTGCTGAAATGTACTCTGCTAACTGGCTTTTTTTTTAAGAAACTCAGTTTTTCCCAGTTACAAGACAAACTCTATGCTTTCAATTCAGAATATTTGATCTCAAAAAGATTTGCTTAGAAAATAAATGAAAACGTGGTGTATGCCATTGCTTAGGATTAATATGACTGTGAAATACTTTAAAATATAATATGTAATWGTTCACATATTTAGTGTGTAGTGTGTAATGTTTTATGTTTTTCACCAGCTTTTGCCATGCTATAAATTGATTTATGTACCTTTAAAAAGAACTTTGATGATTGGAACATGCTGATGTATTCTGTATTTACAGGTGCATTTTTTTTTTTAATGCCAAATGCTGCTAACTCCCCTTGAAATGAGTGTAAGAAGTTACCTCAATAGCTAACATTTGACTTGTCTTTCTTTATGAAATGAAGATTTAAAATACGATTTCCTCGCTGCTGTAGTTACCTCTCTGTTCTTGCTGTCTCAGCTTATTTCAATTACACACTTCTGTTTTCATTAACATATCTATATTTCTGGGAGCGAAATGCAAATGTTCTGACATGAGTTGCAAGTGCCTCACACTTAGAAGATTTTTTTCTTTTTTTGCTTAATGGGCAATAGTGGGTCTGGATAAACATATTTTTAACTGTAGAAAGACCTATGGTTCCTTTACTGCAAAACTATAATATGATCATGAGAGAAACCATCTTTGTTGGATTAAAATCAATCTATAACGTGGAAAAATATGAATATTTTGAAATGGTATAWACAAAACTCCAGTTGKAAAATRCCARTTATTGGAAATGTTATGAACAAAACTGCAGTTGGAAAATATCAGTTATTTAAAACATTATGACCAAAACTCCAGTTGGAAAATACCAATTATTTGAAATGTTATGAACAAAACTCYRGTTGGAAAAYACCAATTAYTTSWAATGTTATRAACAAAACTCTGTGCGAAGTGTGTGTACTCACCTCTGTAGATGTTATACATAAAAGGCTGGACACTGTATGATGTTTTGTAAATTGTGGGGGTTTTTTTTAGGAAAAAAAAGATATTTAAGTGTTCTTTTCTGCAGGAGTCGCAGCTGAAGGCTCTGAAGGACACGGTGCAGCTGTGCCTGTCGTCGGTGCTGCGCCATCAGCCCCCCACCATCAACCTCGTCCCCTCCAAACCRGCAGAGAAACTCCCTGCCCCCATCACCAAGGGCTCCAAAGCTCCTGTCCAAGTGACAAACACCAAGGTAGGACTTCTCTCTTGCCTGTTTTTTTTATTTTTAATATCTTGGAAAGTTTGTCCTGTGAGAGCGTCAAAGCGGAACTAAGGAGGATTTCAAATTCATTGGAAGATTAGGATGAATTCGGAGGATAATTCTAAGCCTGTTTCTCATGTCAATAAATTGGGTTTTTAGCTGGGAAGCTGCTGTTTTTTTTGCTGAATAGCAAAATTCTTTCTGTCACTCGGTAAATGGATCRTGTCTGCACAACAAATCTGCAAAGAAGATGGATTTGCACTTAAAATAAATGAGGATTCTGCTCAGAGGATCATTTACCTGTCAGGCACTGACAGTGAGTTTGTGGTAATACAGCATTAAACAGCAATGTGGGGTTTGCTTATCATGGTTTCTTTCAATGAAAAAAGGTTCTATATAAACCTTAAAATAATCTGGGACCCCCAAATCAAAATTGCCATAATGGATCCATGGACTTGACAATAGGCCATAGGGAATATTCCTGTCTTGCACAATGAGAAGGCAGTTTCACAGAAAGCATGAGCAAAAAAAATCCTGAACAGTGTTTGGAGTCAATAAACTCAAACATCATAATACAGGTAAGATTTACAGTGGCTAGCAATGTAATTTTCATCTCCAGGGTTGCATTTTGCTGTTGAGTTCGACTGATTTAATAGATATATCTAGAAGAAATCTGTAATTTCAAAGAAAAGAAGCTTTACAGAAGAATGACTGAAGGACACTTCAATGTCCTCATTAAATTCCAAACTGAAATATAAATAGGAATTGTTACCTTGCAGCCAGTTTGTGTTGGTATTCACTGCTAGTGCACAGGCTGAAGCCAAAAATTGGTAATCTTTCTGTATGTAATCAAAATCAAAACACAATTTCAGAAACYTACCAACAGTTTTACAGGAAGAATGCATCATTCCCAAAAATTACTACCTCTGGAAAAAAAAAAATCACTGCATTAATTATCAGCAGCACATGGGTGTGACTRTTCATTTAGGTGAAGATCACTGGATTTGTATTAAAAACCAATTTTCCTTCTACCCCCAGTCTCTGAGCCCATGTTGGAGTAATATTTTGGCATTACTGAAAATTTCCTTTCTTCATTGTRTCATCATGCACATTAAGGGCAGAAGAACCCCCTGTGGACAGCTTGTCCTTCCTGGTGTAATATTTGCCACATAGATTATGCTATACAAATTTTGAGATATACCTTGATAGTTTTATCCTACCAGTTTACCACTTGTATAAAAACTCCTAGAGAGTGTTTTCATCCATGCATTTCAGCAAAATTCAGCAAAAAAAGGAGCTATAAAGCTGTAACTCACACCTTCTTTCCTATTTTGCATGTTGAGATCCAGCATAACTGAAATCCAGATTTTCCCTGTTCTTACATGGACATTCATTAGGAAAAGAAACAAATGAAAAAACAAGCAGGTAACTCTCACTCTGAAATTCAGTCAACTAGACAGAATTCTAACCATCCCTTGTTCTCTATAAACCTTAAGCATATTTTGGGTTTTAGGTAAAAGAGAGCTGAACAGATAAAATCTTACAGGACAGTAAATTTCCTTACAGAATAATTTAACATCTGACATTGTATTGTCATTGCTGACTACTTCTAGTGACACCTGACTGCACTGTCCAGTCCATTACTATTTGTGATTTAAATATGTGAGTCAAGCTCTTTCCAAAGACATGGAATGATGCAGTTTTTATTTTTAACAGCCTGCATGGAAATGTCTTTCCCTGTCAAGCCAATGTGCCACAACTGAATTCAGTGGAGCCCTGGCAAATTAAACACTGGCATGTAATCTAGGCAGCAGCCCAAAATTATGAAGAAAAAGGACACAGTTCAAGTGTCAAGTTAAAAAAACTTAGGCCAGAGTTATGAGAAAAAATGTGATTAAAGAATCAGTGCTGAAAAAAACATGTTACTAAACACTATGTCCAACAGCTGCCTCTTTGCCTTGTAAATCCTGCCAGCTCTCATAATGAAAATTGTCACTATCTTAATGAAATTAGAGTTTAGARTGCCTTTCATTATTCACATTTACCACAGGAATCATTAGGCATAGAATYAATAGCAATGGAAAGGTTTGAAAGGAAGAGAAATAATTAAAACTTAAGGCCTTCCAATTACAGTCTTTTTTTAAATTTAATTTTCTTCTTTCATTTCAAATTTTATAGTACAACTACCTACTTAATATTTCACTGATCACTTAATGCAAAGGGTCCTAGGAGCAGCACCTCTTAAGCAGGTGACCAAATGCGATGCTGCGAGATCTGAACTCAGGATCAAATCCTGTAAAACTACACAAATATTTTCTTTCAAGCCTGGGCCAGGATGGAAAATTAATCTCAGAAAAACATCAGCATAAAGGTCATAGAAAAATGCTGCACTTGGGGATTAAATAGAGGCAAGGGAAGCCTTATAGGAAGCCCTTCCTTTTGTGAGTGACCCTTCTCAGCTTCCCCTGCAATTGCTCTGGTTGTGCCTGGGACAAATTTGAGCAAATCTCAAATCTCAAATTGTGATCAACAGCTTCCCCACAGCAGTAAGCTCTCCCCCAAATCCATCAGATATATTCAGCTCACATGTTGCTGCATCATCAGAAGCCGTGCTGGCTTTTGGCAAATATTTCTATCATCAGCCCAGCTGACTTCAAAGAAAGCAAACAGAGCAGCAGTAGAGCATTTCTCTCATCTATCAAATTCAGAAGAATGTTGATTTAATRTAACATTACCTAGGGAGTAGCAGAGATCTAATAGGACTTGTTAAATTTTCCAACTGGATTATATGAAGTGTAGTTCAGTTGTTTTTTAAGGCACAAACTTTCGTTATGTTGGTACACACTCAAAAAAATAGATGTTTTACAAATACGCTTTCCTCTTTAAATGTCAGCCAAATGATTAAACAAGAGACAGAAGCTGCAGACAGCTGTGGGAACACCTACGTGGTTACAAACAAAACCCCAACAGATGATGACAGAACACAAATATTTCAGCAGTTTCACTGGTTGCTTGTATGGGATGYGCTGGTGCTGATGACAAGACTGAAATCTTACATTGCTTTTTACAAGATGTAATTTCCATTTCCATTGGCTCAGTTTACAGATTCTTGCACATGTACAAATTTTAGTCTGGTATTTATGTTAGCATATTGTGATTGAATTTGCTGGATGAAGARGAATATTGGCTGTTTTTAGCAAAGGAATGCCTGTTTGGGTTTTGGCAGAATGAGAAGCCAAGTCTGCCTTAAATTCACTTTACAGTTACGCCCGCTACAAAAACAGAGTAGGTGAACACTCGGCTAAATTCCTACAGGTAATCAATGAGAAATTAGGAATATGCCTGATGCTAAATACGTTGTTTTTTATTGTGCTACCACAAAATTATGCAGCACAGGTGCTCTTGCAAATGGTGCTCATTTGGAAAACGTTCACGTGCAGTGACCCACAAAGTTGGATCGCAGGATTTCGTGGTGGTGTCGTGCTGCAGTGCAGTTTCAAGTGATGTTGGAAGAGCATCTGTTCACAAATTTCCATCGTTTTTCTTGTATTACAGAGTACATCCACATGTGTGCAGCTGCAGATCTTTTATCTTTTTTCTGCAGGAAATTAAAAAGTGTCTTTTTCATTAAGATTCTTTCTTGCAACTGCTCAAAAGTGTGCAGCAGTCGAATTGCCCTGCACACAGCATGCACCTGAATATCCTCCATGGCAAGCTGTTCATAAATTCCAGACTTACACAGGTTACTTCTCTTACCACCACTCTGCATCAATCCATACCTTAAATTATTTATTTTCTTTGCCTAGTTTGTTTTTAAGTACACTCTCAGGTGTGCGTGCACTGAGCACGACTTAGAACTACTTGGATTTTTTGATGTTGGCCATTATTGATTAAAATATAATGTGGGCTGTAAATGTTTARCCTCAGTGGGCTACAAAACTGTGTGACACATGGAGTTCTCTTTAGTGAGAATTTTCCTGAACAGCCAGCCTAAACAACTGACTCCAATAATTGCAGGTTTTCATTGTCTCGTATATTTTATACCAACGTATGGTRTGCAACAAGAGGATAATAATGTTTTGTCCACAGTTTCATAGAAATTAGTATTTRTTACTTCCACAGTGTTAGCACAAGRAAAATAYTCCTAAATTCTGTTTTAAGTTAGGTAATTATATCCTTTTCTCTTGTATAATCTTACCAGATCTTTGGTTTGTTCCCTTTTGTTTAATCTTCTCTAGGCATATGACTTAGATATTCTCTCTTTTGTTTGCAGTTAAATAGAAGTAAATACATCATTCTGATTCTGTTGAAAACCGAGGTACAGTGAATCATCACAGAGCTGCTCTTACTGATCCAGAAAAAAATGGTTGTGTACATTTTCACGAGGGTTTTTACACCCTCAGCTGCAGGGAAATAYAAATAAGAAACTGCAGTTGTTCCGAGGAAGTGAGGCAACTGAAAGCATTGGCCTAAGTTCTACTAGAAAACTGAAATTATCTCAAATATGCAATGCTTTCAAAACAAGCTGTATTAGAAACAAAAAAAAAAAGCAGTATTCAGTGCACAATAATGAACACAGGGAATTTCTTTTTATGTGTAGCTAGACTTTTCTGGAATGGCTTTAAATTGCTTTAAATTGGCATCCACTGTGTATTTAAATGCCCTGGAATAGCCCTCCAGCTGTTTCAATAGTAGACCATTACAAATAGTGTTTGAAAACTTCAAGATATCTTCCCTAACTCTTGACAAATGAAACTTTTAATTTATTTTTTCTTTTGGAATTGGTGGTTTTTGGGTTTTTTTAGTAATAGATATAGGACGCCAGAATACTTACAAAGCAAAAATTTAAACCAATAATGTATCTCATGTCCAACATAATATATTGCTAGGAGGCAGCTGCATGTATGAGGGAAAATTCTGCACTCTTAGAAATGTTATGAAAATAATGATTCAGGAAATTGGCATCCAGATATGTCATCTATCATCCCAAATGATCCATTTGAAAGAAAATTCATTTCACTTTGACAGACGATCAGCCATTTCAGGTTATTGTGGATGTTCATCTCAGAGCAACTCCTTTATGGCCAATACAAATGTCTGTGAAATGTGAAGAAAATGAGTTGTGATCTTTCAGCATCCATGCTGAAGATATCCTGACAATTTCCACTTCTATCAGGAAGTGGGGYTGTTCTAGATTATTTGCAAAAATTAGAGTTGKGCTCAATGCTTGGCACAAAAGTAARCAGCTATTTTCCACTTTAAAGATATTTGAATACAGTGCAAGTTGAACAAAAAAAGAAAATAACTATAAGGGCAAACATGTTTACTTTAGAAACAGTCTGTARAAGTTTTAATATCTGCTACAGTATAGGATTTGCAATCCTTTGAAAAGAATTGTCCTATATAATTATATCTCTGTAGATGTGCATTAAATAGATGTAGAAACTAAAGTGTTTCTCTCCCACTTACTGCTGAATAATACTGACTGTGTAACAGAGAAAAACTGGTTATGTGTGCTGTAAAACATGCCAGATGTGTGCCTGTGTCCACTGAGTATCACACTCACAGAAATAAGTGTTTTATTACTGGTTTTTGTCTTGTCTTCTCATTTATTTTTGCGTGTGAGTCACTGTGGAAGATTTTTAAATCAGGATATAAAGAAAAGAAATGCAAATTTTTTAATATACTATGAATATATATTAATTACACATTTTTGAATAATAGATACTCAGTTACTTTGCAATGTCTCAAATGTGGAATAAGGTTTTTCAAGGTCCTGTACTGTCAGGTAGGAGGAATGCCTGGAGAAGTCCTYCCCTCCARGGCTTGGAAACGTCTTTTGTCCTCCCTAAGACCCAGTCATTAAGGTAATTAATGTGTATTAATGCCCATTAGTSTATTTTAGCAACAAAATGGGAACAAAATCACCTAAGAAGGGGAAAAAAAGGAGAAATCCTAACCCACAAACCCACCCAAGCCTATGATTCTGTGAAACTTGTAGGGGTGGGAGGAGAACTCCAAGGACTGTAACACAATTACATGCAATTCAAAATGATGTGAGCTTTTGCAGCTGCAAATTATGCTACTCAAAAAAGAGGGGTGAAGGAAAGGGTTGGAGATTTAAGAGCTTTTTCTTGGCCAAAATTAATAAATGAGGCATTACATGGTGGCTGGCCTGCATGTGTGTGTGCACAATGCACTGACAAAGTCACTGGTTCCCAGGAGCTTTTTTGGGGTTTTTTTTTGTTTGTTTTTTTGTTTGGTTGGTTGGTTTTTGGTGGGTTTTTGGGGTTTTTTTNTTTTTTTTGTTTTTTTCTTTTTGGTGTGGAAATTGATTATCACGAGAAAGCCATAGTGTAGAGAAGAGTAATTTGTGACAGTGTAAGCAGCAGGAAATGATTGCATTGATGTGACCCATATTGGTGCTGGCAGGTGATGATCTGGCAAGCAATCCTRTCCATAGCCTCTGGCATCTCCAGTGAAAAACTGCTGGCTACAGAGKAAGGGTTGTGCAGTCTGCCAAAAAATCATGTGAGAAGAAAAAAGAGCCAGTAAGATTATTTCTGATACAGGAAATAATTGAGCTGCGTATCAAAGTCAAAAAAAAATCTTTTGAAAGGTGGAATTTGCTCGACCTAATTTTGCTGTTTTATTTATAACAACAGTGCAGAACTTGAGAAGTAAAATTGTTTGATATTAGAAATGAAAAATAAATACAGCATAACTGAAGGATATTTCAAAGGCRTGAAGGAGAACTGGGCTCTTTTTTATTCCACTGCAGACTTTGGAGGAGATCTCAAAGAAATAAAGAGTTTGGTTTGCWTCTCTTGAAGTATCTTGCAAGTTTTGCTGCAGACAAAGCATTCATCAAGTTTAATTGCCTCTGCAAACATAAATCTTCAATTTGAACAATTATTTCAAGTTTCCGACATGCAAAGCTTGGGTTTTAGTCAAACTTGTATGGTAACTGTATGTGTTATGATGCTGTAGCTTCTGAATTATTTCAAAGGAAAAAAAAAAAAGATTCCTGCCCCTGCAGCAGTCTGTCCTGAGTGGAGAGAAAGGCATGAAAAGGAACATTTTTGCCACCTTATAGCCTGGGAGGTCCCAACATGTCAACTCAGCCTCAGCTTTTCCCAGAATCCACAAGAGTCACAGGAACAGGAGTTCTGAAAATGCCTCTTTTCMCCCCTCCTTTGGCATTTAGATAGAATATCTTAATTAAGTATATGGAGGTAATYATCTGCAAGGGAGTGCTCTATTGAGAATGTCTGTTAAGACATTMCCTGTATAAAATTTGCTGGAAATGCAGTATTTAAAGTAGTTAACAGTTTGCAGTGCATGACCTCTTAGTTTTTCATTGCCATCCTGAATTTTCAAATGGGATTTATTTCATATTTTATCTCAATTATATTAATGTTTAAATTTTTTTTTTTCAGGTGTGGAAAAACGTCTCAGCAGAGAAAGAGAATTTCCACGTGGCCTCGAAAAAGGAAGAAAACCAGAGCACCCAGGAGTGTGATTCTCAAGATGTAAGATTAGCTGATGTGAAAAACAGGATCTAATCTAAGCTGTATGAAAACATTCATGCTTTAGGCAGCTRTCAGTGGGACTTCTCCTATTTGAGATGGTGAACATATTTCATAAGCCAGCTGTGTTCTGTATTAAAGTGCCAAGGAGCAAATGCTCTTTGCTGGGAKTCTGTGCATATTTATTATCTGGGATTCTTTTAAAAAATATTTGATAGCACTGATGGAGCTGTTCAGGAAGAGCAGTGGTGCAAAGTGTGTCATTTTCTGTTTAACCATTTCAAGAATTTGTTTGTTCCCAGTTGAAGCTCTGCCTGCATTACGGTGAGATGCAAAAACCTTGTTTACATCTCTTCATATTTATTATTAATTTCTTTATTACTGATAATGAGGTACAGATGCTTCACTTAATAAAGCAAAACCTTTGGGGAGGTTTAAGAGATGATGGCACAGTGGTTGAGAAGATGCAACACCRTTCACTGCCAGTCTAGAAAAGCTGCAAACTGTGTTTTTGTGTCTTAGCTCTGACAGAAAATGAAATCTGGTGCTGTTACTGAGACAATGCACTCAAACAGCATCCCATSAACTCTTAACAGAAATCTCAAATGYRWGTGTTGTGGCTGTAGTTATAAAGATAAAAACAGAACAGGAARAAAGCAGGTTTGCAAAGTCTGTATTTGACAAAACTTCTTTCATGGAGGAAAAAAGTAGTAAAATCAAAGAAAGCATACCTTMGGGATATTTAATTTAACTGTGCCTTGCTAGATAATGTTCCTTATTGTAAAATTAAGCAGGCAATGGTTTTCCCAGTTTTATCTTTCTTCTGAACGTGTTGCTGTTATTAATTCATTTTTCTACTGAAAAATGGGAATTACGTAATATTCATAGTTCATTCTGTTCACATTAAAAAAAAATCAGTCTGGGACTCACACTAAAACACAACACTGTGCTGGTGGAGTCTCTTGAAGGRATGGCTTTGACAGCAAAGTTACAAAAAATATTGTGAGGACAACCATATCTCCAAGCAAAGAAGGCATAAATAGTGTGGTATTTATGCCAATCAGAAACAGCATTTTTGTGTAATTTGTACAAACACAGGGAACATGTTCTCCCTGTATGTGAGACTTCTATGTATTCTTTAAAATTTATATATATATGTAATTTTTTTCCTATAATGCATATAAAAATATGATGCCATCATGGGAGAATAAAACATCACAGTTTGTCACAATACCCTGATTTCACTTTAAATACCACAGAAGCATTGAAAGTAATAAAAATGAGAAAATCTTCTTCTAACTTGACGGATTGATTAAAGAAAAGCAATAATATTTTCAAAGAAAACAAGTGCATGAAATACRTTTTTCATAACAGTTCTAACTATTTTACAAGGCCCATCCTTGTACACTTTTCATCCTGTGGATTGCTCACAGGGGTAGCTAAAGGTAATTTTCCCAGATGTTGTTGAAGTTAAAACTATTTTCTTTATCTTGTACACACTGTCCACCTGAACTTAGGCTAACATGGATGTAAAAATAGTGCAGGTGATGACACTGGGATAAAAACCTCTTCCTCATCATCACCATCATCATCATTATCTCACATTAAGACAGAGAGAGAAGGAAGAATTCAAATTATTCCCTTTGAGAACTGAACTAAAAATTCTCTTTCCATAATTAACCTTCATACACCGACATTAGAGATACCACCACTTCTGMAAGAACTGGAAGGAATTTATTCTCCCAAAGGATGATATTACTTCAGTAATACAGAGCTGTCTGTGAATATCACTTTGAGAAAATTCAACATTTGGGAGGAGTTTTTATTGTATTTTTATCATTACTTGGCTCAGTGAAGTTTTTTTTTCTGAAGTTTTTGCAGCTGCTTAACTCCCAGTGAAGGAAGATTAAGGTTGGATGCTTAAAAACATATGACAGGTTCTAAGGCAGCATTTTTTAAAGAAAAATTAATGAAGATGTACTTAAGACTGTTGCTTAGAAACCTARTACTTCAGCAGTGCTTTCTTAGTACTTTCTCAATTAAAGGATCTTTACAAATCTTTACAAAGATCCTTTTATTGTGTTTCTGGTAAATAAAACATGATTTATGTTTTGGAAGAATTAGGGTAGTAAAGACTTAAGCAGTATTACAGATATTAAGGCAAAAAATAAAGCAGAATGGTTGGTTGCTGGTTCCAACTGGTATTTTTAAGTCAGTGTGGCTAGGCCTCTCTGTCTTAAATTYGTCATTTTTCTGCAATTTTGTGTTTATGGGTTTATGCCTGTTCACATTAATTAATGTAGTTTACATTAGAACAAATAGAAATGAAGATKTATTGACAAATGGGATACAGACTGGCAAATTTGGAAATTGGACACTGCTGATATTTATCTATAATGAACTTTGACACAGGACCAGTAACAGCCACAAGTAGGTGGGATATCCTGTGAGACATAATCTGAAATTTGTCAAAGATAACAAAAAAATAACTTTAATTTTCTTGTAAAAGTTTCCATTATTTMATTATTTTYMCTTTATTAGAGGCATCTTGTTAATSSTAYWTTTTCTTAGCCTTATCCAGAGGTGTTTTCCTATGTCTGGCTCCTAAAAGTCTTAGTGCAGAGCCAGAGTTCTGCACAGCTCCTTCCCCTGTATCTTTTCCCTTTCCTGTCCTCCCAAAAGCTTTTGGGATTTTGGCTTTTACACCAGAATTTCCTTTTTTCCCTTTTCATATCAAATAGTTCTTGTAACATATAATTTAAAGCCACCTATTTGGTATTGCTAAAACATCAAATAATTTATAAAATGCTTCRTTCTCTGTTCTCATCTTAGATTTTTTGCTCGTTGTCCTCCCAGAACCTTCTCTGATAAATAAAAGTGATATTGCTTTTATTTAGTGCCTTAATTTCCTGCAGTAAACAAACACTACATGTTCATTAATCATTGGGTGACAAAGGACATTGAGGATTGGAGCCAAACTTGTACACGTTTCTAAGCAACCACAGCATTTTGCTTCATTTTTTAAAATCAGTTTCAGCTGCAGGGCTTGATCACATTGTGCTCTCCAATTTTCCAGAGGGAGTAATAAGAGAAAAAAAGTAACCATTGTTATAACAAAATTTCAAACTAAGAAAATCCTGAAAGTAAATTCAGTTCTGTAAATGGGGACTCTGAAGGTCATATAAAGTTATTTAATCTGAGTTTAACCAGCCCTGTGATCTAAAAACAGGAGAATGACATGAAAAACAGCAGAGGTGTCTTGTGAAAAGGTGCACACACATTTCACACCTTGCTCTGCACCTTTCTTCTAAACAGCAAGGGTTAAAACAGATCTGTAACAAATTCATGAGCAAATCTGATAGAACATGTACTTGAATTAAAAAAAGTTCACTCTTTGGAAGAAAAGCAATTGATCCTTCTTTGGCAGAAATGGAGAAAGCTGCTTTTTGCCCAGTGTGTGTGTCTCTCAGAATATATTGAGGGACATACTTTACTGTTGAGTAATGTTGGTACAAGGTACAGGAATGCCTGCTTTTTTTCAGAGCTCCTCCCTGAAATGTTGAAATCTTGATTCAAAGCTTGGCACTATCCCAGTATCTCTTCCAGCAGGTACTTCTATAATCTCATCTCCATAAAATTTAAAAAAAAAAACCCCATCCTGACAACATTTCAACACCTTTCTTTTCCAGGAACAATTATTTTTGCTTTTTGATAGTTTCTACCATGTCAAGCTGTCATTATGTCCTTTTGTAATTACTGCACCTCACACAGGAGGGAATTTGAGAAGCAGAGCCACACAGATGAACATACAAAACAATCCTCTACTTGGCATAGAGGGAATTAGAAACAGTACCAAAAGTGTAGTATTTATTTCTTCAGGAAAACGAGGAATATTTTAGGAAATAATACAAASTAGTAATCTGTGACATTTGTATTGACAGGTTGCCAAGACATGTTTGGGGAATCGTAATGCTTCCACATCTCGTTTGAAGGCAGCAGAAACAGACACAAGCTTTCAGGTATTTTCTTCCAGAGTAAAAATTATTGGGGTTTTGCTAAAAGGTCTTGTGAAACATGGATTGAAGTGCATTCAGTTACACATTCTTCACTAAGTTCTGTCTCTGAAGAGAAGAGTGCTTAGTTCAGACTTCACTTCTGATTGCAGCTCGTGTTCAAAATGCTTTCTGGCTGGTAACAATTGGAAAAACTATGGAATGTTTGAGTATCTAGTACCCAAATGACTTAGGAATCAAATGTCAAATTTGATTGTGTGCTGTCTATAGCCCTGGAAGCAAAAGGGAGAGATTTCCAAAATAATCACACATCTGCAATTCTATGAAGCTGCATTGAGACTGGCACGGTTTTGCACTGTACAGGTTGTTAAATCTGCTTCTTTTATGGGGATCAGAACCCTTTCCTAGGCACAGTTGGCAAATCCCATATTCTGCTGCAGTAGTTYATGACTGGTACAACAGTTAAATAGAAATACAGCTCTATGTGCACTACTGTCATGGAATTTTAACATACTTTTAAAATTTTTGCTTATATGTATATATGTACTCCATACATCATGTTTACACTGATGCTGTTTTCATCTCTGCAGAAGTTGCACAGCCCTCCATGGACTAAACCTGAAGATAAAAACTCACCGGAAAAAAAGGAGAAAAAAACTGAAGAATCAGTTAGTACAAAAGACAAAAAACTCTAAATGCTACATTGAAATCTACATTGATCTACATTGAAAAATGCCAATCACATCCAACTTCATATTCTGTTAGGGCAAAGGCATGAAATGTCCCAGGTTTCTAAAGCATGCATTTTTCACTATTTTATGAATGTTTGTAAATTAGTCTAGAATAGACCAATTAGTACCTTCCAGCAATAATCCAAAATGGATGTTTGAAGAAATGCTTTGTAATGCAGTCCAGTTTTTGAACTCTTGTTCTACYTTATCAGTAATTGCATACTATAAATTACCTTATTTGTAAACAACAGTCATTCTCAAGTATTTTCTCAGTCTGTTCTATTTCACATAAYTTTATGGCAGATTAGGTTTTTAAATTAAGATTAAGGGGCACTCAGTGTGTGTGKGGGGAAAATATCTGTGTAACCATATTTGAATTACAATTCCTAAGTGCAACTGTAAAAAGGGAACTGTGGGGGGGGGTCCATGTACACTTACCTTTCAGTAATTCCATTTCAAATCTACTTACTTACACAATAAAAAAATGTTTATTTTGTTCTTTTTTATTTCTCACTGCTGTCTTAACCAGTCCATTTTTGAGCACTGAAGAGCTGACAGAATTGGAATTAAAGGGGTGGAGATAGAGAGGATCATTACTTTGGGGATTCAAGCAGAAATTTTCCCAGGTGGTTCTGAGCTGCAGTTTCAGAGCTTGGATGGCAGCCATGGRAAGGCAGTTTCATCCCTTATATTTGTGCTGATCTCAACGGATAAAATATACTTTAAAGGGTAAAGCCCTATTTGGTCTGCTACAGTTGCTCTTTGATCATTCCAGCACATTGATTGGAGTAAGCTCTGCCACTCGTGGATTCTCTCAGTTTCTCCTTGGTCACATATTSTATGACAAGAAAGCAGAAAGCAAGGGAGGAGAAGGGAGAGAGAATGTTTTTGCTTGTTTGGATATATGTCATTATTGGTCTAATCCATACCTTGCTGAGATGCAAATCTTTCAAGAACAGTAGAACAGTAAATTGTCTGAAGCAATGCTGTGCTCTCCTCTTGGAAGAACTGTTTTAAACAGTTGTAATTTGTAAACTCCCACCTTTATCTCAATGCTCACAGCAGCACAGTTTTTACTGGATTTAAAGTGGTTTGCTTATATTTATTGACTTATTCTTGCTTTGCATCAGTTTAAAAGCAAACAGACAAATCTTTTATTTCATTTAGTGGTGCTCTATCTTCAGTTTTAGCACTTAAGATTTTACCTCTCCTTCARTAGCTGGTGTGAATAATCTTTCACTCTGGCTCCTCTATTCAAATGTAGGKATTTGCAGAATGGTAGGTTTCTCTGCCTTGAGAAAACCCCATTTTAAAAAGRAAAAGCCTCATGAGCTGACCAAATGATGACAAAATGTTGCTTAACCAAGTCACACTGTTATTGAGAAAAAGACTGTCCRTGTTAAGGTCAAAAGAAATGAAATAGTGAGATAAAGCTGCCTCCTCCTGTGCAAACAGTSCATCATAGAGGTGACATCCTGTTCCAGGGAAACAGGAAGATGTACAGTTGCTGGAATTGTTTGTGGATCATATGAAACAGGGAAATAATTCCTGTTAAAACTGAAGGGCCACTCAAAACAGTGAAAGTTCTAGGAATTGAGTGGCACTGTGGGTATCAGGAAATGTTACCCAAAGCTCGACAGARTATTTTGGATTTTGCAGCATCTTGTAATAAGAGCGAAGCACAAATGTTTTTTGGACTGTTTGGATTTTGGAGACGACACATTCTGAATGGTGGACACATCTTAACCCCATTACACAAAGAGTTTAAATAATGAGTTGGAATGGGGCAGTGAAATCAAGCTGCCTTGGAGGTAGTAAAAGAGGCTGTACCAAGGATTTTGGATTTATGGCCCATGCAGAAAGGAGAAGTGGAGTTAAATGTCCCTAAATGAGTYGCATTGGAGTCCATGACAAAAACGGAAAAGAAAGCCCCTTTGGGCTTTTGGGGAAGAAAGCTGCTGGAGGCAGGACACAATTTACACCCCTCTAAAAGAAACAATTGTCAGCATGCTGKTGGACATTGCTGGAGACAGGACAACTTACAGTGGGACATGAGATAATGAAATAACTTTAGGGCTCTTTGTCCTGAAATTCCTGTCATGCAATGGATGGAGTTCTCTGAAAACCCATGGGATTGAGCATGCTCAGCAGTCAAGGATCGTAAAGTGGAAATGGTAAATTCAGAATAGAGCCAAGGTAAGAGTTGGCAGGGTAGCTGCTCTCTRTGATTGAGTGGCTGCTGCCCCCATCAGGGATCAAGAAATAATTCCTGATTCTGCAGCTGGACAGGAGTCCCCAGCACCATGGGGAGAACCCTGAGATCAATTAATGCCTTTTGAAAAGGARTATGTGTGGTTTTCTGATGGATCAGCTAAGTACAAAGGAGGAAAGATGTTTGGGAAAGGAGCAGCTGACCRTCCCCAGTCAGAGGAATTTCTGCAAACAAGGGGAGGAGGGAAAAGCAGCCAATTTGCTGGATTATGTCCTTCTTCCTCTCCTTTTTCCTTTGTCCTGCACTGTGGCTTTATTTTTTTGTTCATCTCACCTCTACCTTTGCCTGTACCTTTCTACATCTGCTGCTCACTGCTTCTCCATCATTGTCCTCTCCTAATCCTGTGTCCTGCTGCCCATCCCTCTCTTTCTCCATCCCTCTGCTCAACCTTGCCCATCTTCCCCCAACACCCATCTGCTGTGGTCATTTTCTCTGTCCTTGTTTCCCTCTTCGTTTCTGCATCCTCGTGTCCTTTATGTCTGTTCACCCCTCTGTCCTGCTCTTTTTCTCATTCTGGCCCAGTGTCYTGCTTGGCTTTTGGGACTCTCATAGGGGCTGCTTTCCTTTTTCTTGCTATCCCCCCATTAAAGAAAAAAGCAGTTTAGCAAAGACCTGCTGCTTCATGTTACAGACAGTTTGTGCAAGAAGAAAGGTCAAGCAATAGCCCAGGGGGGAAAAATRAGGCTGGAAAGTAGAAGAGAATTTGTTCAGGAAGAACTTTTCAGGAGCAGAGCCTCACCTTTCAGGATGGTTTTGGTGCAGCCCATTGTATGGTATTTCTAGGATCTGCAGGCTGTGGCAGCAGGGGACAATCTGAAGGCCCCCTCAAGTGTTAGCACCCTGAAAGGAGAGGAGAATGGTACGAAAATCAGAATTTTTCTATGAAATTACCAAAAATTTGGTGAAATCAAAACAACTCTTTAACACCAGCGTTGCTGTGAGGATCAGGCATTCTTTACCCAGCCAGATGCACAGTGGGCAGTTGGAGCAGCTGACCTGGTACAATGGGAATAAAAAACCCGAACTTTTGAGCTCTTTGTGCCAATACCAGTAATGTCTGAGCAGTCCCAGTGCCATTCCATCTGGATCCTGACTCTGAGAATGGAAGGATCCTGATGGTACCTCGAGCTGAGAAGGGAAGTGCAGATACAGAGTGTGTGCTCATAGCTTGATGGGTTCAGCTGGACCTTTTGTGAGCTGTATTTTTGCCAGATATTTCCAAGGTTGTGGCTTTAGTGTGCTCGTAGCTTGACGGGTTCAGCTGGACCTTTGGTGAGCTCTATTTTTGCCAGATATTTTCCAGCTTGTGGCTTTATTCCCTGAGACTGAAGGAATGTATTAGCACGGAGGAGCTCGTGTTGCCGAATGTGTCCCTGGGAGGGGAAGATGAACCAAATCTGTTGGTCCTGAGCAGCGGTGTTTTGAACTTGCTGCACCTTGGGTGATTTCGGTGCCTTTTCCTTCTTTCGCCAGTCCCCAGCGCCATCGTGTGATTGCTTTTATGAGAGCGCCGGTAAAATCCAAGCGCTTTTCTGTCTAACTCGAGAGTGAAGATATGTGAGGGCATAAACACCTGAGAATAATGTGAATAACACCGTATAAATGAGCACTTTAAGAACTGGGAAGGGAAGGTGATGCCTAAAAAATGTCATTTTGTTCCAAGACCTTATTTTTGGGAGTATTTGCTGGATGGTTTAAATGTTAAATATCAGTTCTGTGAGACAGAAAGAAAGTGCTGCTGTTTCCTACTGGACTGCGTGTTGCAGAGCTTAGCTTCCAAAAATAAAAGGTCCAGTAAAGCATTACCATACTAAATGTTCTGGAAGAAAAACCCAGAGCTTTTCACTTTCCTCTTACAGCTAATAATCTGCACCACACACAGCTCTGTGTGTTTTCTTCCTCAGCCCTGCATACACCTGTACATTTCCAATCTTGTAGAGACAGTTATGAAATTAAAATCTGAAAAAAATCAGCAGCTTGTTGCATAGAAAAAAGGTGCAAAGAACAAAGAGCAAGTGCTGGATTGAACCCATTTTCAGCCTGTAAACTGCACTGCCAACAGTGAGAGTATTCACTTTTCCTTCCCAGATTTACACAGGATTTCATTCCTATGGTCTTGCAGAGCCAGAATCCAAAACTGAACCCGTCCATTTCCTGCTCCCACACGAAAAAACTCTTGGCTTTTACTCTCCCTCTGTCACCATTTAACAGTTCCACTAGATGGTGGTGTTTATTTGCAAAAAAAACCCAAATGTACCATGGCTAACTAAGCAACCCAAAGTGCAGATCCGAAGTTTAAAAKGTCACTAATGAAACAAAATGTTTGTCAGGACAGAAAAATGCTTGGTTTCCATTTCTGGATTCAACAAACAAAATTTGTAGCTGAGCTCAACTATTCAATATAATCCAGGGCTTGCTTCCACAAAAACTGTGCCAGGCTTAAAAGTGCAATTTAAGCTATGGAATTTTTCGCATAAATTGATAGGTCTGTTGCCTCCTGCAAAATTTCTGAAAAAGTTAGCAGCYAACATTTTCATTTGGGGAGGTTTCTTTCAGAAGACAAAGTAAGATTACCTCAGCCAGAAATAATGACATAAACAGACTTTACATATTGAAGAAGAACTGGAATAGAGGGCTATAAAAAAAAAAAGCTTTTTTTTTGTCTGACATTTTTCCCTTTTCCTTTTCTTGGTGTAAGCTGTGCTGAGTTTGCCTTCCAAACCACACGTTTGTTTTTTCTGTTATATAACCCTTTCTAAAGTTTTGTTTAGCGTTGCACCCAGCTTTTCCTGCCCCTGATGTGCACTAATTGAAGTGAAATGAAAACAAGATTGGCACATATTTCTGCTCTCCTTGGAAAGCTTCCCCTGTGGTTGATTTTCACAGTCCCATTTCTGTGTTTCTCTCTTTATGAATATCAGCCTTTTTACCTCTGTTGGGTTCCTTGCTGCCATCATATCCCATCTAGATAATACCTCACAGAAAGTCCCTTAACATAAATGTTTTTTAAAGTATCCCACTGGTGAAAAGATCTATTTTTTTTTTATATAACTGGGTCCTGTTTGAGGATATATTTCCAATGCAAGCACATGGAATCCCCACCTGCTCCTTGAGAATATTGAAGATACCACCATCAGCAGCTCAGTTTAAAACAGGATTTATGTTTAAACCTGACTTTCCAAAGTTTTTCAAGATGACTTTAGGATTTTGAATTTGTTGTTTTTTGCAGGACAA